AATGGGCTTGAACTTTCTCCACCGTTGTTTGACCTTTGTTTCGTGTATTTGTTTCGCTATGTGTCTTGAATTCTTGAAAAAGTTCGCAGGGAAAGCTGGAGCACGCAGATGTCTAATGAGTGGAGCAATTTACTCAAGACATGTGGCAAGACGAAGAGAGCGTTTTCAAATGAGGGTGCCACACTATCCGAACTGCATTTTCTTTGCTCGGCACTCTTGTCTTTTGTGAAAGGAATGACTTTGGTCCGCGACTCAGTGCATCATTAGTGAGAATAGCTTAAATTAACTAAACCAAAGTAAAAAATATTGCCACCTTTAACATTTTGGGGTCGTGTTATTGTCATAGGCAGTCAGAGACTATAGAAGTGATTGTCGCAAAAATAGCTATAATCGGGATGGTTCATCGCTCCCGATAAAACCGAAGCGTTATCGATGCGTAGAAGACAAGAAGCGATTTTATATGGCTACGTTCTTGGTTTCGCTTCTATTTTACGTGTGCCCATAGTACGTAACCTCGGTGCTTAATTCGATAGTATTCTTTTTTTTTTTCTTACCATGTCTCTCAAGATTTTGGTTACTCTGTAAGATTGCTGGACATGATTTGCCGTTTGATCCAGGAATTTTCAAACCCGTTGCGTATGAATCGCTTGTTTTGCAGTAGCATTCGTTCCCACCGAGAGTTTGTGAGTGTTGTCTAAAATTCTCTTCACAGAAACTGATGCATCGCAAATGAAAAAAAAGTACGAGAGAAATTTATTCGAATTGTTCACGATTTATATTTTGGACGAAGAGGTAGCGGCAAGGACATTTCTTGAATCTATATACCTGATATTCTCAGCTTACAGTCGTCATCATGTCGTAGAGTTACGCGAATCCTAATGACAGATAAAATATTTCACGAAATACACATCTAGACGCTTTTACAAATTATGTGCACTTTAAGCCTGAACTTGGAACTTTTACTTACTCATTGTAACCTTATTATTTTCCTATTTGTGTGTTGTGTAAGTTTTATAATCATGAACGTACTTTATGTTGTTTTTGGTCGTTCTGGAGCACGTAATAATACATAAATAATATAAAATTATTATTTTGTTATTATTGTTATTATTAGCATCATCATCATCGTCATCATCATTGGCTAGCCTCCGTCGTACTCTTGGTGAGAAAATCAAAATTTAGATGTTTGTTAGTGATTGTCTACTTGAAAATTGCTCATTGCATATGTGACACGTAGCCCCTTGCTTCGTTGTACGATATTGAACACTTCAAATGCTCGCTTGCTTCCCGTGGAAAAAAGATACAAAAACAGCGTTCCTTCAATCGCGACATTTTCGGTAAGCAAATTCGTCTAGTCGTCCTTAGCTTTTCGCAAACATTTTTTTTTTTTTGTGTTTTGTCCCAGTTTTATATGCAGAGCTGCTAACTTAAATTTATCGAGAAGCCTTACTGGCAGGCAAAAATAGCCGAATGCGGCTGAAGCATATTTTTGCGGTGCTTCCGATGCAAAATCCGGACATGGCTTCGAACACCCTTCATTGAACATTGAATGTGTGGGAAGTTCAACAGTTGCTCAGATCTAATGACCTAGATTCAAGATTTGTAAAGGTCCAAGCCTCGATGTCTGCTTTTTGCATATTTTGACCCCACTTTCGGCTGGACGGAAGTAGTCCAACGTGCTTCGCTCACATGCCGTTATTAGACTGCTTGTGTGCCGGTGCTTTGCGTTCACCACCAATTATAGCTCAAGGCAAATGTTTGCTCGCACATTCCCAAACCGTAGAACGATCACGTCCTTCGACTGCGTTTCTATTCCAGGGTTTTACCATAGATTTCTTTTTCATTTCGGAGTGGTGCTTTAGTTTATTTATTTGCATGTCTGCTTCCTCTTTTTTGTGTTTAACGTCGCGGTGTTAGATGGAGATGCAACTCGGAATTAAAAAAAGGAGTTAGGTTGGACTCCCCTTATTTAGCTATTATAAAGAAGACGGAACTCAAGTTTTATTTAAAATTATATAAAGATTTGTTTTGGCCAATATCATTCAAAGCACACTTTTGCCATCATCCAGGACAAAATATACATCAATTTCTCCCATACGCGTTCCAATTTTCCTAGAGAAGCAAAATGGTAATTAGACATGAGGAAGATACATAGAAAGGGGGGACGGACAACGAAGACTTCCATGTCCGTCCCCCCTTTCTATGTATCTTCCTCATGTCTAATTACCGTTACCAACACGCTCGTTTTGTTCTTAAAGCAAAATGAGAATACATTAAGTACTTTCTTTTCATTTTAACAAAGGTGTCGCGAACTTTTGTTGAACGTGAAGTTTCACTTTACTGGTTCGGCGAACCTTGAAAATTTTTAAAAAAAAAATGGCCATGGATGGATGGACGCTAACGGCTGTACCTTTTATATCGGGCGGCAGCTTGCGCCACCTAGCCTGGTTGTACGTCATTCAATTCGTTCCCTTGATAATTTCCACCAGTCTTCTAATGTCCTCCTTGTTATTAAAATGCACTTATCATTCACCATTTTCGACTTTTGAATAGAGTTGCAAAAGGCTAAACGCAAAAATATTTTTTAATAAATATTTGATACGTCAGTATATTGTTTAAGAAACGATTAATACGCATCACAAGCGCGAAAATATAAACGTTTTGTGATTTGGTTTTTCTATGTAAAAAAAATACACCCGATAAATATTCCACCTCTAGTTCACCAGGTGGCGTCAACTAAATGTCAATTTCCGCACGTGCGCATCACAGTCGAACTTTTGACGAAGGTTGCTCTGCTTCTGAGCTCCGGTAATACTCGTTTTTGCTGTAGATGAGCAATTTAGCCAGTGCAGTACACCCGCTAGCCTGGGGTCTTTAACGTGCACAAGGCAGTAGTGATACACGACCGCACGTCCGATGCTCATCCAGGTGGAAACGGGCAGGGGTGTGAATTGAACCCAGTACCTCTGGGTCCTGCTACCCGAGCTTTCGCTCTATGTGCTCCAAGCTTCGGCGCGCTAGCCCTCTTGGCCACCGATCTCCCTTTCACCTTACGACCACCCACAGTGGATGTTGCGAACCATCGGAGGCAATCCAGTGCCGTGTGGGTGTCTGGTGACTTTGGAGAGGAGGCGCAATGACCCGCGGAACGCGTAGTCACGTGCTAGTTCATAGAACTGTATGGGCTCGGATGGCTTCCGGCGTCCGCCGTGGTTGGTCCTAAGGAGTATGGAGTGCAAGTTCGTCTGCTTTATTTTTGCAAGGATTATGGTGACGTCAGAGCTACGCCTAGTTCTGATTGGCTTTGATTGTAGGATGGTGGGCAGACCTCAAAGCAAGCTGCCTTGAAGTCTACCCACTATCCCATGCAGAGCGAATCAGTGCTGGGCGCCCTGACATCAACACAACCCTTGCAAAAGAAGCAGACAGCGCGTTGGTGTCGGTAAGCGTATGAAGAGAAAATGAGCAAACAAGTAACGACACGTGTACATACGTGACAGTGTTAGCGCAATAAGCACTCTTTTTTTTAGCTTGAAATCGAAATATGTTATTAGAACTACTTACGTGGTAGGGGCCACTTATTCGTGCTAATGGTGTTTGCGTTAACAGTGTTGCGCAGTGTACTTCTTTCAGGTGAAGAGAGGCATACGTTTTCCCAGTGTCCTCTTTGTTTGTTCTTCTTCGCACCCGTAACCAGGTATATTGATTAATCCACGTGCAGAAGAGACTTCTCACTATTGAAACACGAAAAAAGGCGGATTTTTTTTCTCAGCCTACGGATAAATATTGTCCACACGGGCGGTTTAAAATAGAATAGAATACGCTCTACATCCCGATGATATATTCTTAGGAGTTGCAAGATAAGACACGCACCCGCACACACACGCGCGCAAAGCAAAACTGCCCAGTCAATCTGCTTACGACACTGGAACCGTCACTGGTACTTCACAGTCGCACACACAATGTGATTGTGAAATCCTCACTTGCATGACACTAGGTCCGTGAATTTACCGAGAAAATAAAGTTTACGCGGTCTCTCACCCCAACTTCTATTTTATGGTCTTTTTATAGCGATAATGGTTGTATTTTTTTCAATCCTTTCTTTTTGTGAATTGGGAAACTGCCACCATAAAAGTCTTAGGTTACTATGCCCCTTGGAAGGGCACATCTTTCAACTTCATTGACATAAACCTATCAGATTTTTTTTCTACTGGCAAGGGTTAATAAATTTGAAAGCAGTTTCGTGCATCCTCAAATTCTTGTTATGTATCACTCGATGTAATCAACAGAGGAAGTCTTGCATGATTGAATCTTACGAACGTTTTGTTTCGTGCTGTTCCCGCCTGTACGAGGCGACTTTGACCAAGACAATTAGCTCTTGCACCCTCCCGAATACAGGAGGACGCGTATTGAGTTGTAACTTACGATGTTTAAACAAGTTTATCATATCACTGCTACAACGAACTTGTTTTCTTTTTCATGTCGGACTTAATGAATGTGTGCAAAAAATATACGACAGGTGAAAACGTTTATCTTCGGAATCGACAAGCGCTCACTATGGTGTGTGCCACTCGATACATCCACTTTGCATTCGGCAAAAATAGGAACTTAAGAACTACAGACCTAGATACGTCACTTCTCTTAATGCATAGGCCTCTCTTAAATTCATACAAGGGTGGACCGCTTGGGGTTTCTGCAGGCCAAAGCCGCGGAAGAACACCAGCATGTTAAACTTCCCACTTGCAACTCGTTGCCATCCTTAATAAATTTCGAGTGAACGTCGCTAAGCGTTCCGCGGTGTGACCTCACGTCTTTCCGCTTACTGAGACTCGAACAGAGTGAGAACATTGAGTGAATCAATAAAGGAGACCGAACAGCAGAGACGATTTGCCGCAATCATTTCCGCAGGTTCAGCCAGAGCGATTGGGAGCAGACCCCTAAGAGAAAAATACGCCTAAACCTCTGACTAGCTTTGCGTTGTTTCTTTCGTACGTTCGCAGCTTCCATCTTGGTTCTCGCCGGCATCGTTCTGGTGTACCTACCTGGCGTACGCCAACAGCGCACTCAACCCTATCATCTACGGAGGAATGACGCCTACCCTTAGGCAAGGCCTGGCCAACGTGCTCCGATGCGGACCCAAAGCTGGCTACCCCAGACGTTTGTACCACTTTTTGCTGCTTCGACCAGCCTGCTTCCTGTTACGTAATCAGAGTTAGCGTGGACATTAGTTCGCTGGAGCCAAACAAAAACAGAGAGACATTAGCTCTTTTTTTGGTATTTTTACCGTGGTAGGGGTCGGAAAGGGGGAAAAGGGGGTAAAAAAGTTGTACCTTTGGGCTGAGTGAAGGTAAAAGTGTACACGTGTTTTAAATGCCAATACACAGTGAAAAAGTGTCAAATACATTTTTGAGAACGTTTGATACCGGTTCCAACTTTCCTCCTATTGTCACAAAAATATTTAAAAAAATGCAGATTATGGTTTTTATAATGTTCACGGATCTTGCTCTGTAATTGGCACATCGCGTTGTTCGCCCCCTGCGTTACTAAAGCTGGCGGTGACTATTGTGCGGCAAATGTTGCATGAAGTTAAAATAAAACTTTCAATACCAACTTATACTTTAAAAAATATTGCTTACTTTTTTACGCGACAAAAATTCGGGTGTTTGTCTTTTATTACCTCGTGCACAAATTTAACGGCTTTAATATGTGCATTTTTGAATTAAACCCTTCTCCGAACCTCGCCAAATCTAAACAGCAAGGGTGATGAAAATCTTGAATTCGAAAGATTTATATTCAGGTATTAAGCTTACGTCATTTCTTAACACAAAATAATCTTGTCGGAAGCAGGATTTTCAGACTTTAAGCTATAAACTTTACATGTGCAAAACAAAAAGCCTAATATAAAAATACTTGCTTTGAATGTGCCGCCACACTTTTTCCAAGTGATGTTGCAAAATACTATAAAATAAACATCTTCAAGTCAAGGGCAATAAAACAAAATGTATTCACAAGCGAGAATCTTTTTTCTCTTAATGTGTTTAGTACTTTGTCTACTGTTTTATGTCGTGCAGCTTAAACCAGCATAAACTTTCGAGGTCTGAAACAAGTAAGTAGTAGGTCAATCTTTCCACCCTAACTATGGTCAAGATATCCGCCAATTAGACATTACATTTTTTCAAACGGAATGCATGACATTACAAATAGTTAGACAAATATAATAGTGTAATCAACTGAAGCATTGTGTAATTAATTTTTGGCGAATATAAATAGTCATTTACAAAAAGGCTAGAAGTGCATAATAACCGGAAACTCTACTGCCCAATATATGATGTCTACTTGGCAAATGGACTTTGCTGTTTAACATTCTAACAGATATACATTTTTACCGAATCCAAAACGAATGTACATATTCGTTCGGCCACCATTATGCTTTCTGCAAATGCCTGTGCTAAAAAGCGACCTTAGTTTTTTTGTTTTTTTTTACATTATACAATGTGAACATCTTATTTGGCATTAGCAGGCCGTAAACTCATATGTCTGGCAGCATTCCTTTGTAGGGAAAATACATTTCCCCAGATGGCACCACAGGTTCTCGACTTGTGACATTCTATCTTGAGATTGGAGCACACTCTATTTAGAGGATATCAATGAAACACTATAGTTTGATTATTAGCATCTTCAGCAGATACGGAGGCGGGTTTAATCCTCTTGGATATTTAAAATTATGAACGCCTTTATTTGTTTATTTTATTTATTATTTATTTATTTTATTTGGTGATACTGCCAGCATTCTGTAGAACGCCCAGGCAGGAGGTGTACAAAAACGATATTCAAAAACAAGCGGAAGCAGTGCAAACAAACAGACAGAGCCACTACTCAACAGTGTGCAAGAGTAGTGCTACACTAAAGGTATCTAATGATCTCAAATTTACAACACTTTCATGAAGCCTATTCCACTCACACGTGGTTCTAGGAAAAGGGATGCTTTAAGCGAAGTGGTTCGACACAATGGTTCGACAAGTGTTAATTGGCGTTTGCCTCCCGTGGGCCTTGTTTCGTTAAATGAAGTGCAATCACAAAGACGCAGTTCCAAATTGCCTTGTATCATATTATAAAGAAACTTCAGCCGTTCTGTTTTTCTTCGGGTTGCTAAATCACTCAATCCCGATCTTGGGTACAAATCTGAAACAGTTGAAATAAAGCCATAACGGTTGTACACAAACCGCAATGCTTTTTTTTGCACGGTCTCTAACATATCAATTGACAGCTTTGTATGAAAGTCCCATACAATATATGCATATTCTAGCATTGCTCTTATGATGGTTTTATAAGCAGTCAGTTTAGCTTCAGGTGAACAGAGGTTAATACCTCGTTTCAAGAACCAGAGCTTCCGCATTGCTTTACGAGCTATAAACTCAATATGTGCACTCCATGACAAATCAGAGGTAATTAAAACTCCGAGGTATTGATATTGTTTAACAGTCTCAAGTGGTACTCCATCGATAGAATATGTAAAAAACAAAGGGTTGTTCTTCTGCGTCACGGCCATTTGAACGCACTTTTTACAGTTGAGAACCATATTCCATTTTATGCACCCTGCATGAACCAAAGATAGACAATAATTTAATTCTTCTTGATCAGACGGGTTGTTTACTTTAGCAAATAAAACACAATCGTCAGCAAAAAAATCGGCTTTGTAGATTGGGGTGGTGTATCTTTAAATAATTAATAAGAATTAAAAACAAAAGCGGCCCAAGGACCGAGCCTTGGGGCACGCCCGAGAAAACGGGTGACTCGGGGGAAAAGACAGTCAACACGAACACACTGCGCACGGTTAGTAAGATAGGAATCAAGCCATCGTACTAAGTTTTCATAACTGATGATGTAGCGTAACTTATGCAGTAGTTTGTCATGGGAGACGCGATCGAATGCTTTCGCAAAATCTAAAAGATAACATCTGTCTGTCCGCCGATATCAATGACAACCGCAAGTTCGTATATCGTATGAACAAGTTGTGTTACAGTGAAAAAAACCCGTCTGAATCCATGCTGTTCGTCCTGAAAAAAACATGGTCTCCTCAAAAAATGTTATAAGATGTTTGAATACGAAGTGTTCAAGAACTTTACTGGCCGTACACAAAAGTGAAACAGGTCTGGAGTTTTCGACGCATTGACTGTCACCCGATTTAAATATTGGTATCACCCTAGCCTTTTTCCATTCATCAGGCACGTCTCCCGTATTGAGACTATGGCAATAAATCAAATGCAAAAACTTTGCCGACCATTCAGCGTATCTAAACAAAAAAAAACATTCGAAATGTCGTCGGGACCGTTACTCTTTCCTAACGTCAAGGTTAAGGAGGGCCGCAAAAACTCCCTCTTCAGTAATGCTGATGTCCGGATTCACTATTCTAGAATTCTCATAACTTGGAACTCTTCCCGTTTCCACAGAAAATATAGACGTAAAGTACTCGTTGAAAGCATTTGAAATTAACTGCTTGTTATTTGTTAGGATATTGCACAGTTTCATGTCCGAGAAAGAACATTCCTTTATTTTGAAAAACCTCCAAATCTTTCGGGCATCACTAAGCAGAGAGTTATGCAAGGTGACGTTAAAAAACGGTGTTGAGCATTTTTAACAGAAGACCACAATTGTCTGCACTAATACGGTATAGACGGATTGTTATTTCCGTTACCAAATTTACAAACTCGCCGTATTTTACGCTTCAAATGTAGAATGCCACGTGTAATCCATGGGTTATACTTTTTCACTCTCCTAAACGCAATGGAACAAACTTCTGAATGCAGTGCTGAACTATACCTCTAAACCGTAACCACAATTCATTGGTAGTACTTGTATCAGGATCATACATATTGAAAAAAAGCGAATTGCTTTCTTGCAGAACGTCTAAAATATCGACATCCTTCGCATTATTAAAGTCACGGTACCGCTTAATGTCGATAGTAGTTGTTAACTGACAAGCCAACGTTAGAGTGCATACTACTAAAGAGTGATCAGAGATACCTTCGACTATTTCGCACTGGGCGCCTTGTCGTGCAATCTTAGAGGAAACAAAAACCATATCAAGAAGGCTTTCACTGGCATTAGTAACACGTGTCGAACTACGAACGACTTAAGTCATATTACATGAAAAAGCAATGTCAACGAACCAATGAGACTGCTGACACTCCCGCTGTGGTTGCATATAATCCCAATCAATATGTGGTAAATTAAAGTCACCCGCTAGTATAACATGAGTGTAACGATGGTAAGATGCAGATATAAATTCCTGTAGTGCCAGCAGGTGTGATAGGTCTGCATGAGGCGCCCGATAAATTATTTTCTTTAGTCGTGGATAAACGGACTCCGTAGTGTACTAATCTAATTTATTTGAAGAATGGTGTGTCTGTCTAGCGCTACCAACTTAAGAAATCTCTACTTTTCAGTTTAAATGATGTTTGCCAGCATCATTTGGCAAAATGATGACAAATAGCAGGTGACATTACAAGTTAAAGTAGATAATCAAGTTTGCTCATGTTGTTTTATAACCTGCCTGTCTTTGTTCTAATTTGGATAAAATCTCGGATTCGTGGTTATTCTTTTTCTAGGTCATACTATAACGGTCCTGCAGGCTTTGGAACTGCTGTAGTTGCATACATAAAAAAAGTCACTTTTACCTTTGCATTTTTTTACGCAAGGTTTCTTAGTAGCTTTGTCTTTAAGTGTTTATTAATAGTAATTATAGGTAGAGCAAAAATTACCTCTATAAAATAGCATTTTTTTAAATGATGTACAATTAGCATAGACCTACGCAGCGGCTATTTGAAGCGAAATTTTCTGAGCGCGGCACAAGTAGCCCGGATGCAGGATCAGCGCAATTTTAATCCCGCGGCTTCACCGCCGAAATTTATTCAAAAAGCTTTCAGTGGAAACGTTTAATCCTCTGGAAAAAAAAAAAAAAAAAAAGAGCAAGCACGGAATATTAAACTCTCGGACTAATAGAGTTTTATTCTCTACTTATTCTGTCTTATAGCGGCAGTACTCAAGAACAGGAAGCGCTGGTCCCGAATGGCCTTTGTCTTTGATGCCTATCACTTTCTAACGCAAAGACCAGTTGTGAAAAAAAACAAAAAAAAAACGAACACACACAAAAACAAAACACAATTTAAGAGATCCCAATGGAACGATGTAGAAAATGCAAAGCGCCGAAAACCCGAAGGATTAGTTAAAGAAGGACGTACACCGCAGAGTGATAAAGTAATAAGCCGACGTTTTGAGGGTGCTCTTAGCGAAGTGTTGATACCCAACCGAAAACTCCAGTTTGTTAATTCTTTTTTTCGCAGAGAGCTTAAAACGCTAGCCGTCGCTTTTTGGAAGCTGATATATCAAAGGTTTGTTTACCACACGAGATTTGAATATCAATCGATTCGTTCGGCGCGCTTCCTCCTGCGCCCTGTTTGACACTTCCGCACATCTGAACTTTCGAGATATTCAGACATCTTTTGAATACCGACACTTGCTAATCCCTTAATCCCTTGAAATGTGCCCGTCCGTCTGTCAGTCTGTACGTCCGGATATCTGTTCGAGTATTCCCCTGTAAATTAAGCAGGGAAATTGAAGCTACGTGACCTGACGTCACGTGATATGACGTCGCGTGATATGACGTCACATGAGCTGACTTCTTGTGGCCTATGCAGCACTTCGATTTCCCTACCAATGGTAGCGGTTAAATTAACGTTAAATTAACGGGGAAACAATATAGTTTCCCCGCCAGATTTTGCGGAAAAAATGATGTCACTTGAGCTACAGCTATTCAGTTGCTTTTTTTTTAATTTAGCGGGTAAACTGACTTGGTGTATTGGTCACCTGATCTCAATTTCCCAGAAAACCGTTGCGGGCAATGAATAAACCATTTGTTTGTCCTCATTCCCCCAAAACAGCTGATTAAGGTCTTTTAAACAAATTGATTTGATTCTCGTTTAATACTGCATACTGGCACATGACTATAGTGATAAAGGTCGCTGCCAAATATTCTCGTCTTCTCCTGCAGGGTGGTCCCTCCACTCTCGAATGACCCTCACCACGGGGCAGAACGCGGGCAGCCCGTGTCGCTCCGCGCGGCTCTACCACCGGGCGTCCAACTCGGCGACGTCGTCCACCGCGCTTCTGCTGACGAGACAGAAGCCCACACCTCCCGTCACCAGGTGCTCGTCCAGCCGCAAAGGAAGCACTTTCGCCACGGACGTCTGACAGCCCGCGGCAGCTTCGACACTCATCGTTCACGAGCTCTGCCATATCTGTACTTTCATTAAAGGTGTTCCTTGTGCACCGGCCATAGTTCATTCTCCACGCTATATTGCACTTTTTTTTTTGCTGTAAATAAATCAATAGAGCCTTATTCTGTTGGTGTATACCTAAAACCCTCAATTGAACGCCCAAGTATAGTGAAAAGGTAAAGAAAGAAAGAAAGAAAGACGTTTACAATCCCCTGTAACGCCGAATTAGAGCGCAGCTCTTGAGGAGGAGCAGGGCAGGGTACGAAAAGAAGGGTATGCTCCTCCTCCTCATCCGTACCCTCCCCTCCTCCTCTCCTGCTCCCCCCATTTAACGGGATATTTTCGCTAAATTTCCCGCTAAATTTAGCGGAAAATCTTTTCGCTATATTTAGCGCGGAAATTTCCTCGTAACGAAACGCGCGGTGACGTCACGAGTGACATCACTCATGAACCTCGTGACGTCATACGTGACGTCACGTGTGACGTCATAATGGGAAACGTCCCATAATGCAACGCGCGGTTACGCCGACGCCGACCGCGACGCCGCTCAAGCCGGAAACGGGCGCCTAAGAGCTGCGCTCTAAAAAGTGGGCGATTATGCAGGGGGAAAGGAAGGGCGGGTCGTTCGAATTTTTGCGGTATTTGGGAATCGATATTTGATAATTGTTATTTAACCATATTTGGGTATTTGGACTCGAAATATCTTGTGGGCGTGTTTGGAGAGGCCTCTTTGCCAGTTACCACGTTTCTGGGTTTAGCTTGGCCGTTGGCTCTCGGCGCCGCGGCGTGCGTCATGGCTACTTTGCTGCGTGGGGTGCGAGCTCGGATGCTGCCATGTCGGTCGATGCCATTAACAACTGTCACCGAGCGTGAGTGCTCTCGGGACTCCCTGGAACACAATTCCAAGGCCCACTTATCAGTTGTCTGAGCTTTGGGCACAACCGAACACCCGAAGTCTGGAAGTTAAATGTAATAGCTTTCCGGACCGAAGGAAATTCGTGCATCATCGTCGGGCACTTCAGATCTAAGGAAGCACTTGTCGGTGAGTTGCTGGAAGCATTACCGGGTCCGTTTGTGCATGACACTTAAAGTTTTGTTAATTTTTAGTAATAAATAACCAACCTGGCCCGACTAAACATGCTAATAAATCGGTATTGTAGAGCCTCGTAGGCAGCACTTTCGTAAATGAAGCAAACGGTTAGCACTATCGAAAATTAAACTCATGAAACGATCGTCTGAAACGGACTAACATTTAACCCGAGTGTAATGAATAGAACGAGTACGGTAATCTTGAATAAAACCTGCAAAAGCTCTTTCGCTGAATGTGTCGTTCAGCGCATAGCAAAATGACAGAGATAACTGCATTAGTAGAAACGGGTGACACTGAATAAAAGAAGTCAACGTGTATATCAGAATGCGTTATATCGTAATCTTAATGCCGTGACAGTCGCATCGGTGGTGATAGGCGTTTTAGTTACAAAGTTTTCGAGGCTGTGAAGGCCTACTTTGAAGTTTTCAGCACGCACTCACTTGACCTAGCGAAGATTTAGAGAACGAATCCTCGTCCACGACGTTTTATTGAATGACGTTCTAGAGGAAGTCAGCGTTCGTTAGAACGAGTCTGAATAGGTACACGTTTTCGAGGACAAAGCGGCGCGTCGGTAATCGCAGTGTTTGCAGCAATACCTCATGCAATAGTTTACAAGTAATGCAACGTGAAAAGAAGCCTCCGGTAAGCCTGAGCAGAGCACCAACCGTCGTTTTAATAGGGGGCCTAGCATATTCAGGCTCTCCTGGCTTCATTTGTTCTCCTAGTGAAACAGCCGCTCCCGCTTGCTGAGGCTTACCAGAGGCTCCTTTTCATTTCCCTACCAGCTGCGAACCCCTTTTTCGCTTCGATTGAAGTAACTGCGATGAAACTTTGTTACAGTTTTTATAACTAACTTAACAAGGTTCAATGGTAAGTATGTGACTGTAACTTTATTACATTTGTATGTATGTATGTATCTTTTATTTCAGACATAAGGAAGGGTCTGGGGGGCTGGGGCAATAGAAGACGAGTTGTCTTCTGACGAGGCTCCAGCCCCTTTTTCACAGCATTCGGAGGAGACACAGGAAAATAAACAGAATAAATATACAAAGATACAGCAATTTTAAAATCCACAACAAACACAACAACACACCACTGTCAACTTCGTACTAACTGCAGATCATGAGTGATTTAGTATATATTCTACAATCCTTTTTTAAAATGGAATCTACAATCCTTTTTTTAAAATGGTCGGGTAACCTTAACATTGACCTAAATACTTCTCATTAGTAACTTTTACATCTCTGATACGAAGTGACAACGCAGCGAAGTGCTCAACGGTAAGTTCAACTTTATATTCTTTCTAAGCGTCAGAAAGAAGGATACATTGAAATATCGGCGTGTAAACAAGTCCGGAAGGTCATCGAGTTAGTCTAAAACGTTTGGCGCATAGTATGTAGTCTTTATAAAACCTAAATTTGTTGAGTGAGGCAGGTCGGCAATTGTGCCGATCATTTATGCATATCAAGGCGATGCGTATTCATGTACGTAAATATATCATAAGAAATGTTTGGTAGTTCTCTAAATACAAAAAAAAACTTATCGAGTGCGCATTGAGATGTAAATTATTTTGTTTGCCCTCGTGGGAGACTCCAGGCGCCTAAACCAAATTATTTATGATTTCGAATTATTAAGAAAGGTCAAAATGCATTTTCATCGAATAAGCGTTTTTGCACATAAACGAAATATTTTCTTGTAATAAGAATAGACCAATTAAACAAAAATAAACTAATAGAGAAGAAACGGAATTTCGGAATGATGCTCAAGTCACTGATAGTAAGTTATTTCGCAAAAGATATATTTAACTTTACGGTTACCTCCACAGACATCCTTAATTTTTATGACACCTGTTCTGAACAAAGTTCACAAAGTCTCCTAAGCACTTCGGCCATAACCAGCGTGTGTCACGGCAGAAAGCAAGAGATAACAAGGTAATTGATAGCTTTAATTTTCCACCCAATGAAAACAAAATTCAAATGTATAACAATATTTTTGACTAACTTGCAAGCCTTCCGTCATGAGAGTAAATGCACGAACGTCATTTTCGCATATGTAGAAAGTTAATGAGAGAAAGAGAAGCTGTCATTTTTCCTTTGTAATAAGAGATACGTGTGGACGACGTACCCTTTGATGATAAACAAAAGAAATTTATCCCAGCCACACTAGATGCTAGATTAAAGTAAATATAACTTTCCATTGCAAGTACAAATACAAATAGTGACTGAATCTGATCGTGGTTAACATATTTCAATTCACTTTTAATGTATTGAAGGAGAAGAGACTTCCTCTTGGCGAAGTATCTAGTCAGACACATTCCTGTTTATTCACCCCTAGCTCAATGCGAAGCTACAGGTACGTATGCAAGGGCACCGGACCCAGTCAAGCTAGCTTCTGTTAGCTTTTTGTCCGGTGTCCTCGGCATAATGTTGCTGAAATAAAGTTCAAAGTTCAAAGTTCAAAGTTATTTTTCCGCCAGCGGCACTCTCAAATATATCGAGTTTTTCTTCGACGCAATCAGAAGAGGAGTGCTCAGATTTAATTATTAACCTGACACTGATGCATTTTAATTCGTTGCCTGGCCCCACACACAAGAAGAATGCGGGTTTCGTGGGTCATCAATATTTCTCTCTATAATTTTCATTTTCGAAATAATTGCGCGCTCGCGAGAGTGGTATTCATCCCGTGACGCTTTAGACTCTAGTTGTTTTTTTGTTGTTTTTGTTTTTGGAGTCGTCGATGTGCTCGCTTGAAGGGCTGAAAAAGTGACCGACATGAGAGAAGAGGATTCATTCATATGTGGACCAACGCTTTAATAAGACAACATTTATCAAAACAAAAGACAAAATACCTAGTATTATGCACAAAACTATTCATCAATGTATTGCAAGGAAATGTCGGATGTAAACATTTTTAAATGGAGGAATTACATCAAAGCGACAATGTTGGTGGACACCAATAAGTGAAAATATCTTATGGACGCAGGCGAGCCGGTGAATATTAACCATGTTAGATTAACCTGAGACTGGGGCAGAGAAGAAACATGTTTATTCTTTATTCCAGTCTCAGGTTCATCCAACATGACCCATAAGTGCACAGAATCATTAAACAATAGCCCGAACAGGCAAGTTGTACTACATTACTTGATAGATTTTAATTCACGCTTCTTAGGCCGATTCCAAGAGTCACTGCGTACAATGTGGCCCTTGTAAGAGTGACTAGTCGTTTCAATCATGTCGTCACTATCTAGGCAGCGTGTCGATGGCGGGATACAAGTGACGACGGGACTGAAGCGGTTACGCCATTCTCTTAAGCGTCATTGTGAGCAAGGCGGGCGGTGCTTTTCTTTTTCCCCGCCGCAATTTTGAAATCGGGTTAAAAAAGAGCTTGAATATTGTTGAAATAATATTTCCGAAACTATTACATTTTACCAAATTGTTTTATATGATCTAGTCTCTAAAAGTGATTTTCGTCAAAACTGAAATTGCGGCATGACCTCTAAAACTAATAATGAACTTATTAGTTTGTAGTTAATTTATCACAAGCGAATTTTTCCTGAATAGATGGTGCCATTATTTTTTATTGATCATATGGTATTAGCGTGGTGCATTGAGTAAATTAGCTATTAAAGCACAATATTGGATCATCGTATGAAATATTAAGATCGTGTTCGATTATTTGCCAATTTTAATACACGAACCTCAGGTGCTAGTTTTATATATTTGGAAACGTTCCAATTAAACGCAAGATGCACGTTACAACGTAAGTTAAATAAATTCTCTATTAAGAACCAGGTAAACCGAAATAAAATATTTATTACAATTTTCTTATTATTGAACTAGAAGCTCACCCATTTACTTGCAATTCGGATTAGGTTTACGTACAAACGAAAATATGGAAAGCGCTTGAAGAGATTTTAGCTACGTGGATATTGTACAAATATATATAAATAAATTTGCTTTCTT